CACTTGGAAAAGTTGTACGTCAAATTGAAATATACATACTTGAAATTTTTCTCTCCGCACATGAAACTGATTATTCCATCAACATCAGGTTCTTTCCAAACCAACTGAAAGATTTTATTGGGGAAAGAACGTGAAATAATTAGTATCAGTAGGCCTACTAACTCACATTGATAGTTTCACACTCGGCCACCTCCGGATTCAGAAATAATTCTCTAGCACGTTTGTAAGGCCAATTCTCTGGAGGTTGGTATTTCTGAATAGAGATTTGTAGCTTGCACATTATTGCATTAATGATCGTATAGATTGAAAAATCGAAAATAATCGTCATTATTCTGGAAAAAAGCCGTCTTAGTCTTGAGAAAAAAAAACCAGCCTTCAAATCGATATTCTCAAGAATCGACTCAATATCGCCGTAAGTTTTGATGAGCTCATAGGCCTTCTTAGGTCCGATCCCTCGTATTGATTCGCAGTAATCACACCCGAGAAGGATGCATAGGTCAATAAATTGTTCTTTTGTCATATCGAAGTCTGAGAGGATTCGAGGAAGCAAGAACTCCTAAAAACGGGATTCTGATCAAAAAGACATTTCAAGAAGAAGAGTAAGTTTGAAGGGTGGCTAAAGGTCTCCTCAAACATGGTGTTCAACTTAGAAAGTAACAATGAGTGCTTTATTAACCATGTGACATCGCCTTTCCTCGATTTTGGGAAAATGGGTTTTTGAAAGAGTTACATTCAGATGAGAATGTCGATACCTTAATAGGCATTTTCTTTGCCTCAGCGAATGTCATATGACGCAGGAGAACATCCGACCCGAATGTTAATGCATCCATATCTTCAGTGGCAGTTCCATAGACCTAAACAACACTGCGGCAATTTCCTAGGGTTCTGGTTCTGACACCGTTTGAAAAACGGATTGGAGAATATGTGGTCTTAAAAAAGGTACAAAGAAGCACTTTCTTAGCCCTAACAAGGGCAGCACATTGGGCTTCAGCTTCGCAAGGCGCCTCAACAATAGGCACTCCCATCAGGCGAAGCAATTTCTTCACGTCTTCATTTTGTTCTTTGGTAACCTACAAAAAAGAATTAGAGCAATAATGAATCAAATTTTTAAAAAACTTCCAATTTCAGAAACATTAAGAAGATACAATATTAGCTCACCTTAACCAGGCGTCGCTCAAATTTGTCAACTGCTTCGGTATCACCTCGTTCCTTTGCTTCGGTCAAAGCCTTTTCCGCTTCAGCACTGAAGGCAAGGAATAGGGATAAGATCGGAGCTCAATCAATAAACAAATTGTGAATCTTATTGGCATTACAAAATTTTACCCTATAGCTGGTGTATTTACAGAAAATTATATTTTTGATTAAACACAAAATAAATTTGATAAAAACCACAGCAGAGATTTGTTTTTCTCCTTCTTCAAGCAATTTCTTGAAAAGCTTTTTCGGCTCGTTCTAAGCCTCAAACGTGCTATGCTGCGTAAAATATCTGATTTTCAATGACAGTTCAACCTCTTCGAGCATATTTTCTAGCATAAAAGATTGGGTGTTTCAAAAAGTAATCAACTCTAAAATTGATAGTTTTTGCATCAAAGCAAGAACAGATAAAACATCATTCGTGCGCTGTGAGCATCTCATTCTAAGGTACGGCATTACCGCATAAAAATGTGATAAGATAGAGGTTCAGCAGTAAGGCTTTATGATAAAAATGTTGAGCAAAGCTGTACGTACCGCTTCTCACTTCTCTTCTCCAACTCTCCACTCTTCATGTCTGGCGGTTTACCATCGAAGACATAACACGGCTTCACGCCATTGTCAATCATACGAATCGTGCGATAGAACATTCCCATTAGATGACTACAACAAGGTGTTTTTATAAATAACACTTACGACAAAAATGCGGTTTACACACCTCGTTGTCTCCCCACTTTCCGATTGCAGTTGTGAACCATCCTGGCGAACAGCAATGAGGAATTGATAGAGACACATAGAAGCGTCAATCGCAACCTAAAAAATGTAAACCGTACCGCTGGATTAAAAATTCCATAGCAGTTCTCGTGAAATAAATGGTGACCAACCTTTCTCCCAAAATAATTCTTCATTTCGTTAAGTTTTATAGCATTTGGTGCATTGTCAGCTATCACCTTGGAAAGGTCTTTAATTCCCATGGCGAAACGCGCTCCTTAAAAATGGCAAAAATAGAATTTTTAATGCAGACAACCCGCCGACTGCTCGAAAATGATCTACGACAGCAAAAAAAATCGATGTCATATGGAAGAACAATTCTTAAAACGACCAAAAAATGCCTATAAAGAACTTCCTCTGACAAACTGGAGAGAAGAAGGTGAAGAAATAATGCGCTGGAGTAGCAATGGGCGCCGAAATAAATTCTGTTATTCGAACGACGCGCGCTGGGTGCAATCACAGAATCTGGCGCAGAATTTTTTTTGCATACACTGGTGACTGCCAATAACGTCCGAAAAAACTTCTATAAAGACCACAATCTGACCTTTTCTGCGGCGCTTTTTC